AAAAAAAAATAATCTTTCCCTTAGACAGTTCAGCTGGTTACTTCAGTTATAATAAAGACTTTGGGATGAATACAGAAATCTCAGGGGAGTGAGAGAGAAACTCTGGAAAGGAGTACGCACTTGTGTAGTCTCCAAGAACAATACCATAAAGAGTTATCCATATAATCAGACTACTAGAAATGCTTCAACATCAAAGCTGGAATCAGGTATTGAAATCTTTATGTTTTAGCATTAAGGCCAGGAAACTCACCTGACAGCCAAGAGCTGTTCTCAGGAAGGTCAGTACATTTGCAGATACAGGTGCTGCTCCTGTAACCATCAGCCTTACTTTTCCTCCTAAACTTGCCTACAACAGACACAAGATACTGTGGACACCAAAAGCATTTTAGAGAGATTTCCATAGTCTCTTTCCATCCCACCCTCAGCCACTATTCACCTACAGTGCCACCCACAAATGCTAGAGATTAAAGTTTAGTCTCCTATTGCAAGCTGTCTTTCTTGCAGTGTTTTTAATCTCATTAATGGCTGGAAGAAACAGTACCTCAAACACACAGTATCTACAAAGACTATGGTGTGGTGTTGCTGCAATGCAGACTCTGCCAAAAGTCTGAAGAGCTTAAGTCATGGCCTTATTTTTAACTGCCTTGTATCACATTCTCATGCATCCTGAATGCTATAAAAAGCAGCCACAGGGGCATGTTGTACAACCAACGTTAAGGCCATTGCAAGCAAGTGCCAGATATAACAGCAGGCATAACTTACTAGTGACCAACAGTGAGGAGACAGTAGGGGCTACAGGTGGCACTGTATGACATTTAGCATTCCTCCTTCAGAAGGACAGTGTTTGCTTTCAAAGTGGTAAGAGAGAAGCACCAGACTTTTAGAGTAACTTCCCTAACACAGTTAGCTGATACTATTAGAACAAAGGCAACTGGAAAAAAAGAAGTTGGAAACAAAGACAGCTTTGATTTTTATTCTTGAGTAGCCAGGTAGTCTAATCAGTGATGAAAGCCATACTAGATTATAACCATTTGTATGAAATTCAGCAATTGCAAACTTACACTCAGAGGCTTTCAAGCATACCTGTATTTTGCGGAAGATGACTTTATCCCAGAAACTGTTATTTCTAACTATACCACTTCTGAGTTCTGCTTCTTTCCTCTTGGAAGCAAAATCCAGCATCCACCTCTTTAATGAAGTATCTGCCTGTCCAAAAATCTATTAAGAAAGATGATCTGTGGTTAGAAGCCTCAGACTACCATTCCCTTTTTCTTACAGAAGCATACATAGAGACTCTTAACAGTGAAAATCAAGCAAGTTAAACAACCCTTATTGGTAGGCATCTTAATTCTAATTTTGATTTTGGCCTCTACCTCAGTTCAAGGTATGTCCACCAAAATTAGATTAGCACTTAACTAATTCTTGCTTCCCATCAAATTGTGTGATGCTGTTTCAATGTATAGTTTCTTCATTAAAATGGAATGAAGATGGCTGTTTTACTTTTCTATTCCAGTATGATCAAAATTCAAATTGAGTATTATCCTCAGCATATTCTGAAAAGCACACCATAATAGGTAAAGTAACACAGGGTATCCTGAGGAGGTGCAGGTCCCTTCAGAAACACCAAATGGAGATCTGTCTTGCATATATAAACCTGCTTTTTAGATCACTTTTCAAAGGCTCCTTCTACTTGTTCTCAGGAAGCCAAAGAGCAGACTCAACAGCAGACCACAGATTAGTATATTCACGTGGAAAGAGAAAGACCCAGCAGCTCTTCAGCGCTATGGCCCCGCCGCCACCCCCATTTCCCACTTGTTAAGTTCACATGCTAGGTTACTGCAAGGCTGGGTGAGCTTGAAACAGTGCCACAGGAGTGTGAAAGCCTCAGGTCACCAGAGCTAACAAGCAGAAGGACATCATGAAAGGAGAAGAGTCCTAAGCTTTGGCTCTGCTTCTCAAATCCCAGTACAGAATGCGTGAGCAGAATGAGGGGTTATGTTTTAAGCACCACAGGCTGGTCTCCGGATTTCCTCCCCTCCAAATGGATCCAAGTTGCACTATTTTTTCCTGGGGCCAAAGAGAATCTTGTATTACTTGCTGTTCCTCTAGGCTCATGATTAGAGCATTGTCCTGGCTAAGACAGAATAGACAGCTCTGCCATTTCTTTAGCAGTCACAGGACTTCTTGTTGTATCCTTCAGCTCCTCTGGCTGTATCCTAAGAAGAGTCAGTCATCCATATGCAAAAGGATGATTTAAAATCTGAGGTCCAAGAAAGGAATTCAGAAGTAGATTCTCTATCTCAGATGACCCTGAGCAGGCAAGCAGCGAGCACACGAGAGACTGGGGCTGCTGATACACCCTATCCCCAGGACTCCCAACTGGCTGGTCTGTAGTTCTCCCTGCTAGAACACACTGGCTGCTCTGTAGGAAACTTGTATGCATCCATGCAAACAAAAGCAAACACCTGACCTTGGTTTGCAAATTCTACTCCATGAGTCAGATGCTAAAAGCGTGGCATGCAGATGCTAAGCCTCATGTTCATGTTGTAGACTGGACTTAAATAACATGCTCAGAGCAAAACAGTAAGTCATTAATCAAGCTAGAGAGAACCAAGTCCCATAGTCAGGCTTTTCAACACTAGTATTTGCTGCCTGGAAGTGTTTTAATATAAGCAGTACTACTCTCTGCACTTTCAGCAGTCTTTGAGAGCAATACGCAAATTTGTTAGCATGCCAATTTAACATCCCAGAGTACAGTAGTTACTCCTACCCTGGCAGCACAAACTTCATGAAGTCTCTTAAAACCCCGCACACTTACCTTGTCAAACATTCTGTTCAACAGTCTTGGTACTACAGGAAATACAGTTGGCTGCAGTGTTTTTAGGTCATCCATAAGCAGTCTGATATCCCCTTGAAAGAATCCTATCCGAGCTCCGTGGCACAAAACCACACACTGTTAGAAAAAAATAAACACTTTGAAAACACAGGATGTATAATGTGTTCTAGCTGTATATGTATGACAATCCTATGCAGACTAGATGGTGCGGGATCCACCTTTAATCCTCTCAGCTTCTGGAGTAGTTCTGCAGCATTCTCAGACTATAGGACAGGACTAGAAAGACCAAGTAGCAAGACATGCCTGGTGTAGACAGGCCAAGGACTTTGATAGAATAAGATACAGCACAAAAGCATCTCTCCAAAAAAGGAGAGTTGGCTAAATAAGGCAATGCCAGTGACTCAGAGGTAGCAAAAGACTGAAAAGCAGAAATTCTCTATTTTAAATATCGAACAAGCTTATTTAAAAATACTAGACCCTTGTTTGTTCCCTGCTATATACTAAGAAATTCTGCATTTAAAGTCAGCACATGCTATTTACTGGTCCAGCAGGGATTTCTGCCTTATACTACTTGATTTCCATTCTCTTGCACTCTGGTTTTCTGGTTTCACAGGACTGAGGTGAGCAGAGGATCTCTCATTAGGTGATCAGGATGCTCTTTCGAAGATTCTAGCAAAGCCGCTGCTTATTTCTGCATCACTTCAGACCTACACCACAGAAGGCGGACTCAATCCAGTGTGTTCTATATTCTCTGTTACGAGCCTAGAAGCTCTGTCCCCCACATCTATACATCCCCTTTTTCTCCCATCTTGTTTGGCTTCATTTATTCTTTTTAACAACATCTCTACTCTTCTTCTGTTTATCTATACCTACTTGTTTTTATTTCTTCTGCTTCCTCCGTTACACCTCTTCCTTCATTCCCTGACATCCACTCTCATCTTTTCTGCACAAGACATGCTAAAGTGTCACCTTTCCCCTTCACCTGTGCTTTGCCACCATCTGCTACAAAGCAGTAAATGCATCAGTCCAGATGGACTGAGCAGCAACTGCCTTTGCTAGGTGGGAACACATTTGTCCTGTCAAGTTCAGCAACCCTCTAACTTCCTAAGGAAGTCAAAAATCAGCAAATACCAATTTTACAAGAAGGACAGGACTAAAGACTGCTTCTCACAGAGCCTGTGTTCATGGCTACCCCAAAAAGTAACAAATCTTTTCTCCCAAAAGCTTTCTTGCTTAATCTCCTGATGTAAATATACATGTAACCACCTACTTTGTAAAGACCTCAAACAGCAGAGGAATACTGAGATCGAAACACCTTCTTCTCATTTTATCCTTTAGAACACAAGTTTCCATCCTGTTTCTACTGCATGATCAAGAGCAGAGCTGTTACCTACAGAGCCTCTTGCCTTCTGGTGCAAGACAGGCATCAGTAAAACACACTGAATTATAACTGGTATCCAGGTTAACAGGAGAAAAAGAGTGCTGAAAGCCTAAGGGCACCTGTACACCTCAGTTACGCTCTATTCCCAGTCTTCATAACATACATATATACACACATATCCATATATACATTTTTATATGTGTATAATATACACACATTTTTGGCAGAAAGCTCAGGATTCCTAACTGAAGTCACAGGACAATTTCTGACTCCGTGTGCTTTTTCACACTTGCACAGAGGCTGGTGACATAAATTGGGACATGACGACCTTCAACGTATTCGCAATCTCACCTAAGGGAGCAGTGTTAATTCAACTACAATAAGTACAGTAATTAAATACCTGTGCCTCTACTGTATATAAGAAGTTGAGGAAATTGCATCCTTTCAATAATGCATACCACCTATCTATGGGCTCAGAGGTCCTTAAGATTGCCAGTATTAAGACAACCTAAGCCCCCTTGATCCTCAAAAATGAAGCCCCAGGTTTTGCTATATGGTAAAACAAGCTATTCGAGAAAACTTCAACATTTGTCATTAAATGGCATTAAAAGCCATTGTCATTTCCTGGGAGAGAACTCCACTGGAACAAAATCCCTTCCTTTTTATTGAAGTCTCTTGGCAAAATGGTAAGTTTAACCAACTTAAATTTAGTTTTGTGTAAGCAAGCAGGATGCCACATTGTGAAATAAATTTAAGTTTGCAGGCTAAAGAATAGCATGGATTTTTAATAGTGCACTGATTATATTAGAGGGATTTTCTAGGCAGTGTTCACGTGCTAAGGGATTGTCTCATGTTCTAGTAAACCAGTTTCTTATTAACCCTAGCTCTAAGGTTAATGTTTGCATTTTGGCATGAAAACCAATTGTCTAGTACCCACTGGATATTGTTTATGGGATATATGTTCCTGAACCTTACCTCCAGCTTTCATACACGTATGCAAAAGTCAAAAGGAATAGCGTGTGTCACAGATTCAAGAGACGTACTCTGTAAGAAAAGCAAGCTTCTCAATAGTTCACTACAACAAACAGATGCTTACCTCGACGATTCTCTCAAACATATGAGCCAAGGGCAGAAATGATATCAGAATGTCATCAGGGGAAGGCATAAAGGTTTTCTGAAAGTATCAGTAAAATCAGGTTCAATTCTCATTGATTCTTTATTTTGCTTAAGTTAAACACAACAATGAAATCTAGCCTCTAAACTCTAGAGCACAGCCCTCGCTTCAGTTTGTTTGTAATGAAGCTGCACTCTCTTTCTTCCATTGAAAAGATCACAGCAACAACTTCTAGCATGAGTAACCACACATTGCAGAAATAGTAATATTTTTAGAGTTGACTACAGTGACTAGATTATTACAACTTATCATTCATATGGTTATGAATAGAAACAAATTCTGATAGAAACCACAGAAAGTTCCATTATATACATTGGGAGGGAGAGGGAACAAAGAAGGTTAAAGTAGTATGCCTTAGGGGTTTAAAAAAAAATTACACTTTCATCTTAGGTAAGAAAGTTTGCTTATCCAATTTACCATAAGGTTGGTACCAAGAGTACCTTACATGATCTAACTGTGAGGCTAGTTGCTTAGTTTAAAAACGATTCTATATGCATACTACTTGGCAAAATAAGTACAACTGTATTTAATTACACCTGTATGCATGAGAACTTGGAACCACCTTCTTAGCTAGCCTGCAGATGAACTTTAATAGTCTACTGTAAACTAAAAGTTAAAACTGTATCAAGTAAAAATCATGCTGCTTGGTCATTTATGCAAGGGCTTTAAGTATTTTGGGGGTTAAAGTACATTATAGCTTCTCCCATCCTTAATGGAAAAGGTTAGCCTCTACACAAACCCTCTGATACAGAGCTTGCACTCATGACAAACACTATAAGCCCATGGCAGAATGCAACATAGATCCACATCAGGATCTTTATAAGATTTTGCTTGGATCAGAACAAATTGTAAATCTGTCATGTTCTTGACCCTGACAGAAGAAACCAGTAAACATTGACTTTTGACCTAGCACAGACAGAGTGCTGTCAAGTTACATTTTCACTTGGATCTTACTAAGAAGTTAAGACCAAAGTGAATGAGATTTCAGCGTTGGTTTTACACCTGAGATTCTTCCCTTCATGCAAATCCACAATGTTAACCTTTGCAGTTTACCTCTGTAGTTTTCACAAAAGCTGAAGCATTGCTGACTATGTTTTGATGAGTGATCATAGCTCCTTTGGGGTTTCCTAAGGAAGAAGCACATCAAGGATGCAACAGTGAAATTTTTAGGTCCTTTAAGTTACCAAGCAGTGGTTAAACTCTAATATAATGGCACTTCAATCAATCAGTTCCTTCTTTGATATTAATATCTTCCTTTGTATATCAATTAAAGGCAGAGAACTTACTAATGCACTTTCAAGAATAGCTGGTAACAGTTAAGTAGTAAGTTTGTGCTGAAGTCAAATTTCATAAGGAGAGCAAATTCTTAAGAAATTATCATGTTTCTTGGATACGCTTCTCTGATTCAAAATTCAGCACTTCTGTGAAGATGCAGCTATCAAACCCAGACTAATTTCTTTTCTCACATCTGCTTTAAAAACGTAACTTATGATTGTACTCTTCCCTTTTGATCCCTGCTAGTGTTGAATATTAACTCACAGTGTCAAGTATGTGACATCTAGATAGTCTTTCCATTTTGATCTTACAGTAAGGTTGCTTAGAGCTAAGTAAAAAGTTTTGCTAACACAGTACAAAAAAAGACTATGGAAGAATTGAAAGTCTGAAGCAGAGCCCTTATTATAATGGAAATACAGGTTCAGTACTTATTTCCAGGTCCCAAAGTGTAACACCACCACCACCCCCAATACTGCAACTCTGTATTGATCAATGGGAAAAATCAAAGGGAGCCTTACCATAAAACTTCCCCAGCTACTACTTGCCAAAAAGATACAGCAGCAGGGGAGAGTCTTGAAAAAAGTAGGAGGGCTTCTGAATTAATTTTGCGCATACAGGATAATAAACTCTGCATAATGTAATGAGGTGTACCTGTCGTTCCACTGGTGAAACAGATGACTGCTAGATCTTCTGGCTTTGGAGGCTATGAGAGTTAAGAAAGTATTACTATGGTTAAGATAGCAAGGAAAAATATTTTCCTGGACAAAACACCAAAATACTAGTGTTACTTTGAGCTATGGGAGATAGGGAGATTTGCTACTTTGATCTACAGAATGCTACTCAGCTTCACATTGGCACTAGAACTATTTTCATACTTACCATAGGTTTTTGCCTGTGTGCTCTTCCCAGTTCCTACAGAAAGGAGAGAAAGAGGAGAGAGACAGTTTATACATCAGCATGTAACTTTTTTGCTTTAAATTTATCACACAAACATTACCAAAACCATAATATTCCACTATTAAAATGCCTTAACAGGCAGTCTAAAAGAGTAAAAAAGGCTTTAAAGGATGTTTTATATATAGAATAACTACCATGTTCCTCAAATACAAGAGTGATAACTAATCTAGAACTCATAGGTTTTTTTGCAGCTAGTAAACCAGAAGTCACTCGGAGAAGCTCAAGGTTAGGCAGTGTTATGACAAGCCACAGGAGGCAATCAGTCCTGTACCTCATGCAGAAGACATGTGCCACTAGACAACCATTGATAGATGAAGCAAGATTCATCTCAGTAAGCACCTTGCACCAACATCACTGCTTGTGAGAAGGAGGACCGAGTTTCCCCATGAAGGGTCACTGGTTTGTACTCCTTTTACACTGGAGTAGAAAGCACAAGATTCTCTCCTCCAGAACCTCTTTCCTCTCACTGCCCACAATTATTCAGACCTGACCACTAATGATGTCAGTTCTTTAGGCAGAAGGGAGCGGATACCAAGGAGATCCTTTTATCATCAAGAATATAACAGTTAAGAAGAAAGACTTGAAAGCTGATGTTCAATATCTCTGAGCTTTAAAGTTTCAAATCAAGAGTTATTACGTCATACCTATTTAAGACTAGAAAGAACAGTAGCTTAAAAACTTATGCAAATTAAAATGGACCTTTTGTTAAGAATAGCTTTGGAATCATGGTTTGATGACAGACACATCAACTTGACCATTGCCTTTACATTCCAAGTACACAATAGCACTATGCATCTATGCATTCCTTTACTAACCCTAGACTTCCTTTAGTATGATGTACCTCTTTGGGTAATCTAAGAGGTTTAAGAAAAAAAAAAAGAGAGTGTCTGGAAGCACAGTTAACATTCCCTTACCTGTAAGTCTGCCCCTTTTGAAGCACTGCTGTTATGCAAAAATTTGCCACTACGATGATACAGCTGTCTGCTCAAAACAGCCTCTGCATTTCAAGTACCATCAGAAGCTCA